CTGCTATGGTAGTTTTGATAAATCACAGTGTTGGACCGTGGGCTTGGTACATTCACAGACGTTTCACTGATATAGTCAGCGAGTCTTGCCATTCTTGGCACTAAGCTACAACTCATCAAAGAGACAAATGAAAATGGCAAGACTCACTGACAATGTCAGCAAAACGTTTGTGAATATATCAAGTCCACGTTCTAACGCTGGAAATTGTCATAACTCCTAGAACAGATGACTTCGGATATGGTGCGCCAAACTAGGTTATCCCGATAACACGACCAAGTTGCTAAAATGAGGTCGGAACACTTCTAAGAAGAACAAATTTTGATTTACTTTTCATGTAAACCCATATTTTATTTATTTTGGGATAATCTTTAACTGTGAGCTTTTTTCTATGTTTACTTAAAATTAATGCTAGAGCATACCTCGTTTGTACCAATACTTTTTCTCATTGCTTTGATTTTTTCAATCAATCAATTCATATAACTTAGGCTGAACCATACGGCGTAGGAACTGAGTTACTAGGTCGCTTAATTCAAGTCAAGTAATATTTATGAACTTTTCCCACAGTGATGCTATTTTATTTAATTTGGCTTTTCTCAATATTTTTGTCATCAGTAAAACCCGTAAACGAGCTAAAGGACCAAGTTTTTATTCAAGAATTGACAGTTTCAAAAGTATACGGAATAGAACTTTGTTTTTATTTTTTCAACGTTTTACATTTAATTTAGCAATCATTTATTTCCCTTCCATTTTTTTATAATTTACCTGTTCACACTTTCATTTACATATTCTTCTTGTCTTTTATCCCTTTTAATAGAGCTGCACTGAAATCCATTTGTACGATGACTCTGAAAGCACAGCGGCTGACATGTTTCCCTCGTTACCGCTCACAAAGCAGGTAGTCGAGGCTTACTGTTTGCGGCGATGGGGCGTAACGCGTGCCGACAACCAGCTATCCACCTTCTACAGTGATGATAGTAGGTTTCCACTTAAGGGTCTTCAAGATGTTCTAATTTATGCACAGAACTTTTCTGGGTTTCGCGCTACCTTTATTCCACTTATATTCTCATATTTGTGCCCCAGTCCAGCTTAATGAAAATCTAGTATATATATCTATTTAGTTTTTTATAAACTAAATGGATTCCTAGTAAATATATCAATGTTAAAATTTTTGAACCTCGATTTCGCAGCTTGGTCGTGTTCTCAGGGGACCTTGATAAATGAGCCTTATCCCGAATACTCAGCCACAATATTCACAATAATTTTAAGCATTGGATCATGAACTTGGTCATTAAGCTTTGTCAATTATAGCTAAGTTGCAAGGACTAGGTCAAACCACTTTTATCAAGCGTAAGGGGGCTGCGACAAAAATAGAGACCACAATCCTTGTCTTCGTATTTTTTGTAATTCAGAAGTTACCTTGTAAAGGCATTAAAATGTCTTTAATGAACTCAACAGCTGCAATAATTAGCTCTTCTTTGTAAACAAAGTTTCATTAAAGACATTAAATAATTTAGCCATTTCTTTTAATATCTATAGAAGCGGAATTCCTAAAATCCAATTGACGAGTAGATCTACCTTACATGTCTTCACAAATTTGCTTCCCAAGCTTTAATTCTTTATTATGGGCTAGTCTATTTACTTACTATTTCATAGTGAAAGTTGCTAGATACTGAGTTAAACAAGATTAGACACTCACCATATATAGTACTTAAATTAATTCATTTTTGCCTTTTTCCTATAATCAACTTGTTAAATGTAAAAAAATCATTTTCCTCTTCAGTCTGGCACTCAACTTCGAATATCATATTTTCTAACGGCGATCTAGATCCTTGGAGGAACGGAGGAGTAAGTTTATCTATAAAAAAGTTTACCACTTAAGTATCTCTTTTAAACATTCCTACCTACCATCCTTCCATGTAACTGACGACTCTCCAACTTTTATACCTCTGTTTCTCACTTATAAAGCAGATAATTGTTGTTTTATAAAAAGCAAAACTAATTTTTTGTGCTTAGGGCTGTCATGGCTACGATATCACTGTTTCCAAATGTATTATTTTGGTATTATTTTAATATAGTCTAGAAGCTTCTAGTTATAAGAATAACATTGATCTGTGCTGGCATATCTTTAATTTCCTCTGTAATGTTCACTTATAAATCCGGCATCCTAGGATCGTAATTGATTATAAGTTAGGCTTAGATTTAATCTTTAGGCTAACCATTTTTTTAACCAATTTCAACATGGAGTTTTAAACACGAAATCTTGTTTACTTTTAATTTTGGCTAATACTTTCGCATTTTAATTGTAGATTCTTCAAAGTGAAAAAGCTTTCCCGGTTGTTAAGTTATTATTTAGTTATCTGGAGGACGACATTTCTGTTTAGCAACTCGGCGAATACTGACTCAACGAATTATTTTAGCTTATAGATAAACTACATTACATGATTAAATTGATTATAAATTAGTAAAGCATACAAATTCGATTTCCAAGTGAGGAATTGAAGAAATAAGACAGAGATATATTTAGGAAGCCTACAAATTCTGGTTTTTCTT